TGGGGGTAGGCCTGGTAATTAATGTGATTTTCGATTTTTCCCTTAATAATTTTCTTGCAATCCTTTAATCCTGCTTTTTTGTTCTTGTGCTAGTCCGATTTTATAATTATTTTTAATTTATATTGAAATATTAAAAAAATTATTAAAATTATTAAAATTTTTTATCCTGCGAATATCTCATGGGAATAAGGTTTACAAAGTTATATAATCAAATTTAATGATATATTATACTTTAAAATATTTTTAATCAATAAAAAAAAATGAATTTTAACATATTAAAACAATTATAAATAGCGCCATCTATTTTTTTAAAGTATAAAAATCGCAATATTTTTTTAAATAAATATCCAGCCATACTAATTGTTAAAGAAATTATTAAAAAAATAGTAAACGGATAATATTTCATAAAAAAATTAAAAATCGGAGATCATATACATTTCGAAATATTAATTTCAAATTTTGAACTGACCATAAGATGACCCATATTTTAAAAAAAATTAATTTTGATGTTTTCGCCATAATTATCATTTATTAACTTAGCTATTGATATTAGATTCAATATATGATCATATTTAGTTTTAAATTAAAAACTAATTATTTAACATCAGTAAAAAGAAAAAAAAGGCGTTTTTTGGACCTTTAACCCCGATTATCTCCGCTAATATAGTTGTTAATGCGCTAAAATTTTCTTTATAATCTAGTGGGAACAAATATAACCAGTCTACAACTTTTTATAGAAATTGAAAAAGGTCGGCCGAAAATCTTGATTTTTTTGCTCATTTCACATGGAATGACCCCTTGGCAAGATATACCCCAAAGTCAAATTAATGGTTATTTTGATCCAAATCTTTATTGTTTTGAAGAATTATATATATCATTATTTTGTTTATATCGTTTAGGAGTAGATTGATTAAGTTGGTTTTATTAAGGCCAGATATAATACAACCATTTGTATGTTACTAACTTTATCAAAGCAAAATATGTGACAATAATTATATGATACATAGGCACCAAATCACAGGGCCGTAGCCACATGGGGAAGGAAAGGGGGGCACAAGGGGTCCAGGCCCTCCTAAAAAAAATTTTGGCCCCCAAGCCGCCTGGCCCCCAGAAAAAATCTTTGGTTTCCAAAAATGGTCCCCATAAATTTTTCCAGCCCCCCAAATTTTAAAAATAATAAATTATTTTTATATTTTAAAATAAATTTTAAATATTTATTCAAAAACATTTCTATTTTGTAAATTTGTTTCTATCCTGTTTTATTTTATCCAATAATAAAGGATCAATCATTCATATTTTAACATTTTCATGTGTGTTTGTGTATGACATTATATATGAGCTTAATCACGTTTCAATTGTACTTATTTCAATGATAATTATTTTATTTATTATGGTTCAATTACAATATTAATATTATAATATATAGGACTGTGCCGATTCACATATTTTTCACCGATCCGATCCGATATTGCTTCAAATCCGATCTGACCCCGATCCGATATTTATACTGATTTTTAATCACCCTCGTTTGCAAATGTAATTAAGAAATAAATATTTTTTAGGCAAAAAATCGAATTATGAATTTAATTTAATTTTTTTATTTCTACAATTAGGACTATAATAAAAAAAATATATATTTAATAATATATCCATTTTATTTTGGTATGAATTATAAAATTGTAATATTTAATATATAAAATTATAATATATTCAATTTTTTTTAATAAATATGAGAGCCTCCAGATTTTTTGGGACTTCTACGATATGAACTATCTATATCTCCTGCCGTACTGAAGGCAGACTCAGATGATTCCGCAGATAACGCATTTTGCAAAATTATCTTTGTCTTTTGTAAAACATTTCCATAATTCAGATACCATATTTTTAAAAATCTTTTATTTAAAGTATAAATAAAAAAATTGGCGTTATTTAAAAAGATTTAAAATAAATAAAACTTTGGGTGTTCCTTTCTATTTTTATAACAAAAACTTTTAAAATACTATAAATCTATTTTAAAAAAGAAATAAAATTTAAAAAAATTATTTAGAAAATATTATAATAATGTAAAATAAAATAACAAAAAAAGTAAAAAGATCAAATCGGATCGGTTTTATGATAGGTATCGGCCCGATCCGATATTTTCGGAAAACGCTAAATATCGGTAACGATCCGATCCGATATTTAATATCGGCACAGCCCTAAATATAACCGGTTATTTAAAACAGCGGTAAATATTTTGGAATTTGGGTAAGCCAACAAATTAACCGTAATAAGGTTACATTTAATCACAGGTGACCGAAAAGTAGGCTTTTACCTTCGACAAAGAATATCAATTGAAATGTGTCGATGCATATCCATACATGGGTCATTAAGCCCCGCCGACCATATCTAAATATAATATTTTAAATTATTTTTTTAATTTCTCCTTTTAATTATATATTTTTATATAGAATATAGAAATAGTATGTCAGTTATAATTTTAATATTCTTTAAATAGTATTTTTCATCGTAGTTTTGTTTTATTTTTATAACTGTGCATTTGCATCAAGTTTTTTAAAAATAAAAGTGATAGTATCTTTACTATCTTAAATCAATATTTGATTTGATGCTATTTCTTAGTATACAGGAGCTACCTTTTGGTGGGATTGGTTCAACAAAAATTATGGATGCTGCAAACGATGAAAACATAATTTATTCTTATGGACTATTTATAATAATGTTTCATACACCATCTCCATAAAGATCCTGGATTAAATAAAATTATGAAATACCCAAATTTGCCCAATATACATCAACCCAGATTCAAAAAATAATATCTATTATGGAAAATGGTGCTTGAAATATCTCAGTATAACAAAAGTAACTCAAGGCTGATGAGGCAAAATATGCATAAGATTTTGAAAACCTGAGCATAATTAGTCGCTATATTTCTGGAGAAATTCAAGAAAATTTAATAGGAATTATTAATTTACACTTTCTACTGAAAGCATCTGATTGCATTTTAAAGCAACTTAATGAGTTAAATATTAATTCAACGAATATAATAAGCCAGGTATATGATGGTGCAAACGTCATTTAATAAAAATCCTTTGATATGCTACAACCACAAGTAGCATCTTGTGGTTCAAAAAATTAGTATAATGTTATCATTTCGAATTTTTTTTAATTTATCTAATATATTGTATAATTTTTAAGACATTTAGGAGTATCCTGTAAATATACTCGTCATATCTTAAGAGACTTTTAGACCAGAGATGGACTGGTCATTTAAAAACATCTTGCATCATTTATGAGAATTTTCAGGCTATTGGCGAAGTATTATTTTACTTTTCTAATAGAACTCTTAATTCAAAGGTTTCCACTCATGATTCAGGCCTCTGGTCTTTTATCTCAATGCGTTAATATAAATTACATTATATTAGTCATTATAATTTGATATAATAACAATAGATCCACCAAATAAGTATCTACAGTCAGTAGGTACTAATCTAGTGGATGCTAAAAATTGTATTGATTCCACTATCAATATATTAAAAAATAAAAGAAACAATAATTCTTATGATTTGATTAGAATTAAGACTGAAAAACTTTTAGCAAAATTTAATCTTCCCCACAAATCATCAAGGGTATGTAAAACGCCTATAAATTTTCAAGATTTTTTAGTCAGACCATATAATTTGATTGTAAAGACTCCAATTGGAGTTCTTTAAAAAGGAATTATTATGAAATTACTGATTACTTTGTGTTGATCGTTTTTTAGATAGATTTACACAAGATGCCTATAATCTTCTATAATGTTTTAATACCCTGATTATTTTTTATCGAATAAAATGGCCCAATTAGAATCATTATTAAACTTAAATATGGAAACGTTACATAATGAAATGAAAATAGCTAAAGGATTATTAGCTGCAGAAGTTAAAGAAATATAATTTTGAAAATATCCTAAATATTATGAATAAAAAAAATATCATGCACTTAAAGAATTGTATAAATGCTACTCAGCAGCCATCATCATTAAAGCACAAATGGCTTCTGTGTGGCCTCTTTCTCCACAATAAAGAGAGTTCTATCGAGCACTAGAGTCAATGTCAACGTAAGCAAAATTAGTATTGATGGCTTAAAATAACATAAAATTTATCCTTTAATTCATTTATGCTAAAATTTAAAAATAAAAATCGTCGTATTATATTATCTTATTATTTTGTATATATTATAGTATTATCTTGTATTGATATTATATTAATATTTTTAATAAAAATAGCAAAAAAATTTTTATAAATGCTTGATTATTTATTTTTTAAAAATAGTGCCCCCTCCTTAAGTAAGCAGCTGGACCCCCTAGCTGAAAATTCCTGGCTATAGCCCTGCCCATGAGGACAGCATGGCCTGTACCCCCATTAAAATATTCACAAGATAGAAATATATTCACCCATTATTATTTTAAACATCAAATTTACCACAAAAAATTTATAGCCCATAAAGAAATCTTTATAAGTTACCATCTGTGATGTGGTATATTTAATCAAAACAATACCATTTTTGAGTATTTTACTGGACTAACTTGCCAAGATATAATGTTTTAATATCAGAATTATTTTCTTTATCAAATCAAAAATAATTTCATTATTTTTTATTCAAACACATATATATATCAAGAGAGCAAATAGTAAATATGCTTAATATAAATCATTATTGATTTTAGAGGATATATTTATATAAACTTCAAAAGAAGATATCTGATAACCCTACTCAATGTGCCATTAATTTGATATGGGATGAAAGCATATAGACTTGTTATGAGTACAACTGAACATTTTTTCATCAAAATTTAAGAGAGCCTTACATAAAAATTATGACTATGTTGTTAATATTGTAATGATGTAGAAGAAAAAAATTATAAATATACATTATATCTTAATATAACATTGGTTTTCTAAACTATTTTCTTTTAATGCTAATATTATAATAAAAAATTGATGAATAAATTTGTAATTTACTTGTTCATGCGGAAACTCGTTCAATTGGTCTAATTTGTCAGCAATTGGAGACAATTCATTTTGCGCAAAATCTCTACACATTTTTTGAATCATAGCATGAGTTTCTGGCAATGATATCATTGAGTGCTGAGTCCTAAGGTGTATTTTTATTTTAAACAGATTCTTCATTTTTTGCAAAATATTCATTTTTTGAATACAGACGCATAAATGCGAAATTATAATAATATCGAATAAATCCTGATTATAAATTTCCAGCCTGAAGCTTAGTTCAGTGTTTAAAACCAATAAAATTAACTCATTAAACATAGATATACATTAAATTAAAATTAGCCCTTCTCCTGCCCTTGAAGCAATTTAATATTTTTAAAGAGGGGGTAAATCTCTGTATATTTTTCGGGATATATAAAGGAAAAAATAATATTGCTTTATATTTTATTTTATTCTTTTGTTTGTAAAAATTAATTAATAATATAGATATATTAGAGTTTTTTTTAGAAAATTATTATTATAATTATTACGCGTATATTTTGTTTTTGATAAAAAATTTCGTAAATCCAAGAAGGTATTATTAGATTGACTTTAGGAAATTATAGTAAAATATATAACTAAATAATTAGGCAAAGGTCTTATATAATAATAAATATATTTGCAGTTCATGGATGGATTGGCCTATTCCATTTTTAATCAGACATGGACGTTTAACATTTATATAATGGTCTTCGGACTATTATGTAACAAGTACATAGGCTTTCCATATTTCTTTTTCACCGAATTGTTCTTAACATCCAATTATATGGAATAGAAAATACCCAACATAGCAATATTTCTTGATGTGATAAGGCGATGCGCTTTTTCACGTCAATAAATCAGCGGTTATAGCAGCAATTTCCTTCACTTGCTTATAAGCTCTAAAGCTTAACAGGTTTATGGCTTTAATCAGGGGTGTCTAACTAGATGCTTGGATGGGAGGGCAACAAATTTAAGAACGGGCAGGCGGGCGGGGGGTTAAGAAATAAATAGGGGCCGGCGGGTTAAATTTTTTTTAAAATCATTTAAGTAAATATTAATAAAAAATTGTTCTTATTAATTTTTTTAAATATTAAAAATTAAAATGTCCTTTATTGGTATTTTTGGGATTATATTTACTTTTAGAATTATTACACTCGAACCGAAAGACGAATTATACTCGAACCAAAGAAAAAATTATACTCGAACCGAAAGAAACAAAATCTTTTATTTTTCAAACACTAAAATCTAACAATGAATCAATAATAAATATATTCAATACATAAAAATCAATATTATTTTCTTTAAATTAATAACAATAGTAATAATGTATATATACCTATAACAGGTATCATAAAAACTTTTTCCTTAAAATTAATTAACTTTTTTGTATATTTAAAACTACTTTGATGGAAACGAAAAGAAAGAGATTTGGTAAAGTTATCAAGATTAGCAAGAAAATATTGGCAATTCCTGCAACTAGTGCTTCTTCTGAACGAGGATTTAGCATTGCTGGAAGGTTTTTAGAACAAAGAAAAACGTGTTTGAATCCAGTAAATGTCGATTCTTATTTATTTTGCATTATAATTACATATATATCAGTTTTATATTTATATTTTTTTCATAAATATTTTATTTGATCAAATAAATTATCCATAATTTAAATTGAATATTTTTTTTATGCTTAATATAGTAATTACCTAAATTATAAAACTTTTTGTAGATATATAATGCTGAATTTTTATTTATTAGATGCATAAAAAATTGAAAGAATGGCCATATTGAATTTTATAATAGCAGGCTGGGGTTAAAAAATTTTATAAATAGGGTGGGAAAAAATTTTAGACTAATGGGAGGGCGGGCGGCTAAAAAATGATTGATGGGCGAGCGGGTATCTTTTTATGAAAACTATGGGCGGGCTGAGCGGGCGGGTTAAATTTTTTTAAAACATTGGGTGGGCAAGCTTTTGGTTCAAAAACTCACCCAATGCAGACTTCTATGCGGAAGTACCTCCATTTAAAAATTAGCAAATTCTTCAAATTTTTAAATTAACAACCTATTTTTTTATAATGGAACCTAATTTTAAATAATTAGATTAGCACTCGTTTAAACAAACACATCAACATTTAAATAGCATTCTTTTAAAAACTTAGGGTTTGTTATATTTAAATAGCATATTCTAGTTTGCATTAAATCATTTTATTGTTAAAATATCCTTCTATGACTTAATCAAAAGCAATATGGTAAAAAATAAAAATATATTATGAAGAAAATTTGTAATCAATTAGATGATATAAACCAGTTAAGGGACATCACTAGCTTTATTAAAATAAGGCTTCCAAAAGGTGCTATTTTTTGTACTAGCTAAAGACACACTAATTCTAAGCATCAAAATAAAATAAAACTTAATTAATAGAATACGTTAAGATTTTAAATTAAATATACATTAATTTCTGTACTACTTTTATTCAGAATAGAAGGCCGGACTCGACCACGTGATTCCGTATTAATATATTAAATAATAAGGGTCTTATTACATTTTAATAAATTTTGGTCGGTATTTAGCAAATTAGATTGGTATTTAAAATATTTCATACATTCACTTGGTAGTAAGCATCATTAACCTATTAATTACACATTTTTGGTACTCCCCTTATAAATTTTAAAAATAATAACAAATAGTTAATGCTGTACTACCAACTATCAAAATATTGTGAATATGTTTTTTTCTTATTCTAACTTGGTGGTTCCATCCTTGGGGGGGGGGGGGGTGATATATAGAAGGCCGGACTCGACCACGTGATTCCGTATTAATATATTAAATAATAAGGGTCTTATTACATTTTAATAAATTTTGGTCGGTATTTAGCAAATTAGATTGGTATTTAAAATATTTCCATACATTCACTTGGTAGTAAGCATCATTAACCTATTAATTACACATTTTTGGTACTCCCCTTATAAATTTTAAAAATAATAACAAATAGTTAATGCTGTACTACCAACTATCAAAATATTGTGAATGTAAAATAATTATTTTTTAGAATATAAATTCAATTAAAAACCCTTACATTTATGTAGGCATTAGTATATTGTTGGCATTAATATAGGTTAAATGATAGAAACTCCAACCTTTTAAACTACATTTAAAATAGCAGAAAGTGATCCATAAATTGTTTTATTTGGAAAATAATGTCCATGATTGTGGGCATTTGATCGAAATGAGCATATCATTCTATTATAATAATTATAATTAAGTATTAATTATTACAGCAATACATTCTGTCCTATTTCATTTAAAAATTTAATAGATGACCCTCCAATAAATTTATCCTACCCCTAGTTACCCCCCTTAAATGCCTACCCCCTATTCCACTTATAAAAAATGATGAAAAATGTTACCTACCCACCTCTCATATAGACGCTGCTTCCAGCTCACTAGAGATTATTCACAATGCCTATACATCCTTAATACTGCGCTTAATCCGCTCCTCCTTTCTTTTCTCTTAAAAAAATTCACAGAGATATTAAAATTACTCTTTAAATCATTCCTGGAAAATATATTTAATCACTTTTAGCTCAGATGCCTTGAAAAATGTGGTGCATCAAATTAATATCTTCATATCCTCTACTTTTTCTCTTTCATATTAAACAAACAATTAATATCAGTGTTGTAGTCCTATAATGTGTATCACTCCTTGCTATAATAATTTGAAGTGTATATTACATCACCCCTCTTAAGGCGGGGGGGGGACACGCTATAAAAAAGTGGGGGCACCCTAAACTGGTGAAAAAATAGAGACAAGAATTTGAGGCAAAAAATTTTTTGAAAAATTTTTATTTATTTTTTTATTAGTTCATATCTAAGCATTTCATATAAAATACATAATATCTACATTATAAAAAATAGATATTTAAAAAGCAGGGGCGTCGCTAGCCTTACAATCTCAGGGGACTAAAAAAAAATTCATGAGGGCTTCGCCCCTTATGCTTTCCGATTTGCGGACCTTCGGCCCGCTTTTCCCCGGTTTTGGCCGGGTTTTAAATTTATTATACTTTTTTTAAATCTGAACAATTATTCTGAATTTTAATTTTCTCATTTATTATCTTAGGTAAAGGGCATATAAATAATTAAAACAATACTAGATATTTCTAAAAATAGAATTTTTTAATATAAAATCTATTTATTACAGTATAAAATATTTTCGATTGCTGATATAAAAAAAATTTGCGTCTAAAGAAATACAAGTGATAAAAAAGATTAACATACATATGCCTCAATTTATAATAGTTTTAAAAACCACATAATGCAATAATATAATTCTTAGCAACTTACATTGACAAAAGGTTATCAAACTAATATAACTCTCTGTTATCATTTTACACATTTATAGAATGAACTAATAAGGAAAAATTTATAGGCCTAAACCAAATCAACAATTCTTGAAGAAGAAAGTAAATCCAAATCATAAAACTACTAAGTGGTTAAAGTTTCCTTTTAGATGACATGATGGTTAGATAAGTAATCGAGAAAATTATTGTGAGATATTAAATTTCTAAAATATTATATCATCCATTTTAAACGATATATAATATATAAACGACTACACAGTTGACAAATTATTGTTTATCCAAAATATGCAATCATATGTTCTCAGCCGTTGTAGTAATAAACTTAAAATACATAGTAACACAAATAATATACACTGGTTAATTTTCAGTAATAACCATGACACTCACGATGTAAACTAGTATCAAAATTTATTATGTTGGATAAATTGATAAAATAAAAACACTAAAAATCTTTGGAAGAAATAATTGTGCAAATATATTGAAGCCTTGAGTTATTTACACGGCAAGGATGCCATATTAGAAATGAAACATTTTGGAACTATAAAATAAGGACCAGAATGATATGATGAAACAATTAAGATTTATATATTGTCGCACCACCTCTAGTTGGTATATTATATCTTAAAATAATAGTAGTTTGTAAAAATATCAAAAATATACTTGTATTAAAAATTTAACTCAACACTGTTTTTTAAAAAAGAAAAAAATAGCATTCCTAACGTAAAAAAGAAAAGATATCAAATTTATCACATCTATGGTAAGATGAATAATAAAATGTTTAATTTTTAAAATATTTATAACTAAATAGATTGCAGAAAATTGTTACTATATTTATTATCAATTATA